CGGGACCCGATCGCCGGCAGGGCCCGACGGCGGCTGGCCTTAAACTCCTCCCTTGAGCCTCTGTCACCCACCCCCGCGAGACCCCCCCCTTCTTCCGCGAGGCACTTCCGGCTCCCGTGAGCCAGATCCTACGCCTAGTGGTCGTCACGTGGCCCGGAGTCCCCCAATCACGTTGGCCCCACTTCGTCGAGTTGCAACGTTCAGCCGCTTGGCCTTTCGGGAAGGGTGGAGGACAAGGGGGGGGGGAGCGGGATGAGCCGGAGCGCTGCGCTGACGTCAGCTATTGTCAGCACAGACATTTCGGGGTGGACCGAGGTATGGGTGCGAGGGTGGTGTTTTGGGAGGGGGGGAGGTCGCTATGCTTGTCCGTATTAACCAGTCACTTTCCAGCCGAAGTTTTATCCCGATTAAAAAACGTGGTTTTCATTTGTTATTAATGTGATGTAAAACAAAAGAGACTGAAATAGGAAAACCAGGGAGTCAAAGCAACCATGGCATCTTGGGCCTCAGTTTCCTCATCTGTGAATAGGGTGATTGTAAACTGCTTTGTAACATGTAGCGCTCTACCTAAGCCATTCTCCGCTTTACTCGAGGTGTGGGAAAATACTAACATTTGTAGTCTGTGATGTAAGAAGTCATTCAAGCATCACCTTCCTATCCTTCCAGACTAATTCTTGTATTCTCCAATGGTTCTTACAGTTGGTTGTTTTGTTAGTTTTCATCTTCTGTCACTAGTGTTTGTACAAGGATTTAACTCTTAATGGAAATAGGCTTTTCTGTCTCTCTAGTTTACATGATTTAAAAAAAAAAATGGCTGCTGTATTAGCTTTCTTGAAATTAGGACAGGAGGGACAGATAACTCCAAACCTGACATGGTTTAGGACAGAAATTTCTCACTCACCCACCTTGTGACCTGGGGATGACTGTGGCTCTTTGCTCTTATGTCTTTATTCCAGAACCCAGGAAAAAGTTTGCATGGATAAATACCAAAAGATTAATTTGTATTGCATAAAGGACCACTCAGAGGGTGGTGGTTAAAGCAGCTAGATCCTACATGGCCACCTGAGTGAGTGGATTCACAGTCCCAGTGACCTGAAAGACTTGTCCTGTGCATGTGTGGTGCCCAAGAGTGCAGGATGAGGGACTGCAATGTGGTTATCCTCCCATGTGGGGGAATAAGTTCTCCCTTTCTCTCCGGCAAGCATAAACACCTTATAGCACAACTAACAATTAATAATAAAAACCTCTTAAATTTGTATTATAGTGACTATTTAATATGTTAATTAAACTTTAAATATTTTTTAAACTTTACAGAAGCTTATGAATACAAGGTCTATCGGTAGGTACTACTTAGAACCAGGCACATGGTAAGTATTCAGTGTATATTTGCTGAATGAACAAAAAAGGCCATCCTTCTCTGTTTTTGCTAAGCACATAGGCCAATGATCTGCAAAAGTTTTAAAGCAGGTCAATTGCCTTAGTTATTTCATAGATTTTTTTTCATTTTTCTTTTTTTTTTTTTTTCCTGAGAGGTTTTTGTCACAAGGCGCATGCGCTTGCCAGAAAGACAGAGACAGAGAGACAGAAAGCGAGAAATCACCCCCTGGGGGATGGCCGTGCTGCAATCCCTTCTCCGCCCTCCTCCTCTTGGGATCTTGGGCACGTGCGCACACACACGTGCCCGGCGTGAGTTTAAGCCACTGGGTCCGGGACTCAAACCGTGGTCGACTACATGGGAGTCGACATAGCCATTACACTAATTGCTGGTCCCTTTATAAATTATTAAATTTTTTCATTTTTTAAAGAGATTTTTGCAATAGGATGTGTGTACTCATCAGGGACAGAAAGATAGAAAGTAAGAAATCATCCTCTGGGGGTATGGCCACGCTGTAATCCCTTCTCCTCCATTCTCCTCTCAGGATTTTGGGCATACATGCACATGCACCCTGCGTTGAGTTTTAAACCACTGGGTCTGGGACTCCAACTGCAGTCGACTACATGGGAGTCCAGTGACATAGCCATTACACCATCTGCTGGTCCCCACAGAGAGAATTGTGATGAGGGTATGTAAAAAGCTGCAAACTTTACTCAGGACACTTTGTCGGGGGATTCCCCTAGGTCAGGAAGGCTCTCCCCCATCGTGGGGTGCTGTGCTGCTGAGTCCTGTCAGCTCCATTCATAACCTTAGCAGACCAGGGGATTCTGCTCAGCCCTGCACTAAAAGGAAGTTTATGGGAGGACTTGGGGGGCAGGACACTGGACCTGAAAAAGGTGAAGCAGTCTGAGCAAATGGTTTCTGTCCATCGTCAGGGTCTTACTTGAGTCTGGAAGACAAACTTGTTTTGTTTGTGAGCCTGGCCCAGTAGGGCTGGGGGAAGCCTGAGAGAAGTGTCCCTCCTCCAGCTTTGCCAAATGTGCATCTACTTCAGAGAGACTGTGTGATATGACAACAAAAGAAAGGCCAAGTCACTTCACCTTACCTCCCTCTTCCTTTCTTCCAAGGCTGCCTCCCTTTCAGGAATCCAGTAAGCTTGCTTCCTTCTTAGCTAATAGTATGCTAGTCAGTTACATCTTTTTCTCAATAAGCCTTGCTACCAGGTAGTTTTTTTTTTTTTTTTTTTTGTTTTTAAAGAATTATCTATTTATTTAATTCCATTTGTTATTGTTATTTTTTATTTGACCACCAGAGAGAGAGAAAGGGAAAGCGAGAAAGCAAGCCACCAGGTCCAGGACTTGAACCATGGTCGGCCATGTGGGAATCCAGCGCCCTTATCCACCACATCACCTGCTGGCCCCAGCAACCAGGTAGTTTTTCAAACTGCAGATTCTCATTCATAAGTCAGTATCAGTGTCCCCCCTGAATATGGGGGCCTTAAAGAGCAGTAGCTCACAGCAACTAGGAGAATGGGTGCTAAGGATGGCAGTTATGTTCATAATAATAATAGTGATAATGATGATGGCAGTAATTATAGAAACTAACATTTACTGACTCTTTAATGTGTGTCATTCCCTGCTCTGAGTAATAACTCTTTGAACCAGTGTTGAGGTGTCTGTTTGGGCTGCTATGATAAAAATACCACAAACTGGGACCAGCAGGTGGTGTGGTGGTTAAGGTGCTGGACTCCCATATGGCTGACCCTGGTTCGAGTCCTGGACCTGGTAGCTTGCTTTTCCACTTTCCTTCTCTTTCTCCATTCTCTCTCTTTCTCTGTGTCTGTGGTCAAATTGAAAAATGATAAATAAATATTTTTTTAAATACCATAAACTAGGTGGCTTATAAACAATAGAAAGTTGTCACTTCTGGAGGATGAGAGCTAAGATCAAGGAACCTGCAGACTCAGAATCTGATGAGGGTCCACTTCCTAGTCCAAAGACAGTGCCTTCTATCTGTATCTCCACAAGCTGGACAGGATGAGGCAACCCTTGGAGCCTCATTTATGAGGGCACTGATCCCCCTTCTGAGGGTTCTCCCCCATTACCTAATCCCTCCCAAAGCTACACTCAATACCATCACATTGGTGAGTAGATGTCAACATATAAATTTTGGTAAGATGCAAACATCGAGTTTATTACATGTAATTCAGTTCCAAAGGCTGTCAGGCTGGAGCACCAGGAAAAACCAATGTTGCACCTCGAGTCCAAAGGCTATCTTCTGCAGAATTCTTCCTTGCTCAGGGATTAGAGGAATGGAAGGGGTGAGAGGAGGTGATGTCAATCTTTTGTTCTATTCAGGCCTTCAACTGATTGGTTAAGGCTCACCCACATTAGGAGGACAGTCTGTGTTACTTAAAATCTACCCATTTAAATGTTAATCTCATTTTAAAACACTCCCATAGAAACATCCAGAATAATGTATGACCACATATCTGGGTACTATATCTGGGTCTAGCCAAATTGATACAAAATTAAACATCACAGGTAGCTACTATTATTTAAATTTTATAGGCCAGTTGGTAGCATGGTGATTAGGGCAGCTGGATCCTACATGGCCAACCACACAGTTCAAGTCCTGGATCCAGTGGCTTGTGAAACACACTGGGCGCATGTCTGTGCATGTCCAAAATCCCAAAAGGACAGAGAAATGGATAAGGGATTGCAGTGTGATCATTCCCCATGTGGAGGGGAGGGGTTCCTTCCACTTTCTCTCTCTCTCTCGTTTTCTCCCCAGTGAGTGTATAAACTCTTTGGTAAATTAAAAAAAAAAAAGGGGCTGGATGGTGGCATTGCAGTAAAACAATGCTGTCTCTGAGGCTGACCCACATGGGAAGGTTCAAGGTTCAGATCTAGAAACATCTCTGAGTATTCCTGGCATGTGTTTACCCTTGATTCAGGGCTAGCTGGAGTTGGGGGTAGACTGCAGCATCAAGCTCTAGTGGAGGAACCAACAGTTAGCGTAATGGCTATGTCGCTGGACTCCCATGTAGCTGACCGCAGTCTGAGTCCCAGACCCAGTGGCTTAAGCTCGCACCAGGCACGTGTGTGTGCGTGCCCAAGATCCCAAGAGGAGAATGGAGGAGAAGGGATTGTGGCATGGCCATCATCCCTGGGGGGTGATTTCTCATTTTCTGTCTCTCTGTCTCTGTCTTTCTGGCAAGCGCACGCGCCCTATAGCAAAAACTTCTCAAAAAAAAAAAAAAAAAAAAAAGACCCAGTTGAGGGCACTGTCTTTCTCATATCAAAAAAAAAAAATAAATAATAGGACCAGCAGTTAGCGTAATGGCTATGTCGCTGGACTTCCACGTAGTCGATTGCGGTTTGCATTCCAAACCCCATGGCTTAAAACTCACGCCGGTGTGCATGCATGTCCAAGATCCCAAGAAAAGAACAGAGGAGAAGGGATTGTGGTGTGACCACCCCCCCTGGGGGGTGATTTCTCGCTCTCTGTCTCTCTGTCTGTCTCTGTCTGGCGAGCGCACGCGCCCTATAGCTAAAACCTCTTATAATAAATAAATAAATAAACCTAAGAAATATCTAAATGGATAATAGACTCAAACCTAAAACTATAACACTTCTAGAAGAAAATCTCTGTGATCCTGATTTAGATTTCTTAAATATAATACCAAAAGTATGTTCCATAAAAGATAGATAAATTGGATGTCACTGAAAAATTTTAAACTTCTGCTCTTCAAAAGACTATTAAGGGGAACCAGCAGTTAGCGTAATGGCTATGTCACTGGACTCCCACGTAGTCGACTGTGG